AACTGCTGGTTTAGTTATATTTGACATGTTACAACTGCTGGTTTAGTTATATTTGACATGTTACAACTGCTGGTTTAGTTATATTTGACATGTTACAACTGCTGGTTTAGTTATATTTGACATGTTACAACTGCTGGTTTAGTTATATTTGACATGTTACAACAGTGCTGGATTAGTTACATGCTTCTTAGTCTATTTATACCTCAATGGATTGTGCAGATGTGGCAGAAAATAAAACAACAACAACAACAACAATAAATTTAGAGTTAAACAATGTTTATCAAGTCATTTTCTTTTCTTTAGTATTAAAGAAAAACTCTATTCTTTCTCAATACATCTAGTCTATTCATTTCTGTTTTAAGCAAAAGGGTCTAACACTTACTTCTGCCCTCCTAGAATCCAAGGAAAGTAATGCTACAAAGCATGTGATCTGGAGTAAAAAATCTATGAGCAAAGCCAAGCCTGCATACAGGGAGAAAATATGAACTGCTGGCATACTGGAGAGGGCACCTATGGACAATACAAATGTTGCTGAACATAAAATTTCATAACCATTATGTTTCTGTTAAACCTAATAGTTGGATACATCTTTGGAGACCCACTTCAACATGAAATCTATAAAATATACTATACATTTAAGGGTATCAATTATCTTTCAACTTCAATGCATGGTTTATACTATCTTACAAGTTTCTTTCATAATTTTATCAGTCAAGAGGGGTCTGAGGTCCTCAAAAATCTCTGAACATTTGTGCCTTGAGACAAAGCACAAAAGGGTTTCTAGTCTTTCGGTAATGCAAACTAAGCATATTTTGAGGTCTATATGTGGATTTCATTAAGACATCTTTCATGTTTATAAAAAAACAAAAAGACTTTTCAAATTGACAGGTCTAATTCCCTTTGTAAAGTATATACCATCCATATAATGTTCCAAAACTATACACTTGGAATGATCCTTACATGTATAGCTTTAAATTGTAAAGCTCAGTGTTCTTCTTCAGGAGAATAAAGGGTTATGTTTAATGAGTGTAATGAAATATATGGGCACGAATGTTGAGTCACATAAATCGGATGTTCAATATGAGTTAGCCTTGAGATCTAGCCAATCATAACCAAGAGTTGTTGGTGTCAGGTTTAGTTTGTGCCAAAGAGGTGTGTACAGTATATAAAAGACTTAAGTGTAATAATAGTTATAAGAAATGTTAACCAATTTATATTATCATTATTATAAAGATAAAATTAAAATAATGGCAAAAGGTGGTAGGAAATAGAGAAAATGAAATAATTTGAATATCTAGAAATTAAAGCATGAATTATATAAATACTGTAAAGCAAGTTTAATTATGAATTTAGTTATAAAAATTTTTTCAGAAACATGCGAATGTCAACAATCCCTCTTATTCTGAAGTAATTAAGTTGGGTCAAGATGAAATAAGCAGTCATCTTATATGAAAGTTGTTGTAACACCATGAAAATCAACAGATATATTAACACATGATAACACTGAAAGGTCATTAATATTAATAAATCAATGAAGTCAGGTCAATTTTTGTTCTTTCAGGTTGGAAATCAAATATGTGATCGAATCCAGCATGCCTGTCAATGAGGCTACTTCACACTGTTCCTGGTTGTGACTGCTCATTATTCCATAATCTTAGCCAATCAGAGCCACCATAAATAGATGTTTCAAAGTTCTGAACATTTCCGGCACCTCCTTAACAGATCTTTTAGATATCCCACTGCATTCTGTTGTTTTCCCTTGTGAACTTGGTCTTGTCACGTTCACAGGAAATCATAAATTACGTCTCGCACCACTTTATTCTCTCTAAACTGATGTAAATAGTTTATAATGTGCTCTATCCAATGGTATTCTAACTTTTCCTGTAGCTATTTTCAAAGCTGAGTTTCATTAGTAGTTCAGTCATTTGCTATGAGATCATAAAAAGGTGGAAACCAAAGTGTACCAACAAAACTCACAGAAATAGACAAACAATCAAATGAAAAACAAAATATTGAAACTTATATTTTCAAGAGTCAGTAGTTTCTTAACAAATATATAAGCTTATAATTTGGGATGGGTCTAAAGGTGAGGCTCCTTGGTGCTGTGCAGAAACGCAAGTTTGAACATTTTAAAAATTTTTTCATTGTGAAGTAATTTAATGTCGCAAACTGAAAAGAAATCAGTTCTAAAATACTTTTCAGAAATAATTGTTGAAATTTCTTATGTACCTTTTCCTTTGAAAGGTGCTCATTGGCCTGGAAATAATTAAATTACAGTAGCAAAGTGAATGAACAATATATTTAATGTACTTAACTAGGCCTAAGAAAATAAAACATGTATTAATAGCCTCAAAACTTGAAGAATCATAATCAGGGCAGCAAACAGACAGAATAAAATAGTGAAAGGTGAAATTCTGGATTGGTGCTATGTTTTTAAATTTCAGGTCTATCAATGTTAACAATATTATTAAGGAATGACTGGTGGTAGTATTGTTGTCAGTCTTCTCAATTTTATGTTTCACAAGTGATTGCCACTTTCTTTATAGCTAAAAGAGGATTATATAGAAGCTTATTACCTATATATGTGATGAATATCAATATCATCAGTATGCAAACAAACAGCTACAATTACATATAAACTTATGACATTCACGCATGATCAATATCAATAATAGAGAAAACAAACAGCAATGATTATATATAAACTTGTGATATTCACACTTGATGAATATTGATATCAATAATAGAGAAAACAAACAGCTAGGATTATACAGAAACTTGTCATATTCACACATGATATCAATATCATCAGTACAGATAAGAAGCAGCTAGGATTGTACATACATATATGATGAATATATCATCAGTAGAGAAAAAAGACATGACGAAAACTGATATAATTAGTATATAGCATCTAGGATTATACATAAACTTATGACATTAAACTCAATCAATATAAAATTAGTACAGAAAATAAAAATGGTGAACAGCTAAGAAGAAAATTTATTGGATATTTTACCTAAGAAAAAACAAGATGATTCTGAAAAACTAGCTAATAGCAGAGATGGGGCAACCTCGCCCAGAATTCGTCCAATCTGTTCTTCCCGAGATTCCATCTCAAGCCTATTGTCTCGCTAGGTTGTTGGAAAACAAAATATATATAAATAAAAGTTAAAAAAGCAAAAAGAAATTCATGAATTTCTAAAAGTAACTCATTCTTTTTGTAAATTATATTATTAACAGATTTTAATCTTTCATTATAATGTATTTTATTCAATCTGTATATCACATTGGAACTGGTCTAATATCAAACCTTTTTACCATTTACAAAGCCAATTACACTAAAAACACTTCACAGACATATGTATGAATATCTAGTCATACTGATCAGATGGCAACAGATGTAGTTTTTGCCAATACAAAAATTAAAAAGTTAATTGTGAATGGTTGGACTGTAAATGAGAAGAGAAATAAGCAACTAAAGTAACTGTTAAAGTAAAAGTTTTAAAGCATAACTGTCATAACTGTGCAAGTCGAAAGAAATATGCATTTAGGAATTACCTCAATTTGGCAGGAAGTACTAAAGCTTCAAATTTTATTTAATTAATTAAACCTTAGTTTACATTGCCTTATAACCTTTATATAGTTATACATTTCAACTACATTCAAAGGTGTATGTGTGCGTTTACATTTATATATGATATTTATGTTCAGTTGTTACGGAAATATCTAATAAAGATTTTATCTTTCACTGTGCCATAAAACATTATTTTTGTTCTTTACTATTAATATAGTAGCACAATGAAATTTTATTGAGCTTTTCTGGTTAAAGGAGAGAAGTCTTTATATCCAACACTAAAGTTCTATATCCCATTATTTCTTTACAGCTTTTGCACTGTTTTAATAAGAATAAACAAACTTGCCCTGGAAAATGTGCAAATTTTAATCATTTCCAGTTGTTTTGGAAAGAATACATACACTTTTCCTGAAAAATAAGCAAGTTTAAACAGAAATAAGCACACTTGTCCTAAGAAACAAATGAAATTTAATCATTTGTCACTGTTTCAACAAAGAACAATAATGTTATAATTAAGGGATTGTATAAACCATACAGTGTTTACAACAATATCATGATACTTGATGAAGAGTCCTAGTGGTAAAATGACTATAGAAACTTTTAAAAGGAAGGACAATAATGTCATAATTCTAGATCTCTTCATCAAGTATCATGATATTTTTGTAAACACTGTATGGTTTGTACAATATTTGCCACTGTTTCGACAAAATAAATGCATTTATCCTGAAAAATTAGTGAGTTTCAATGAGTTGTACTATTTTGACAAGAATAAATACTCTTGTCCAGAAAAATGAAATTTGGTGTTCTGATGTTAAGGAACAATCGACCTAAGAAACTCAAGAATGTTCTACAAAATAATTTAGATTTTTCTCTCATCCACCAAAACTAAGACTTTTTAATCATACTATAAACATCACATCTTAACTTTTTTCTTTGTGAGCAATAATACTTTTTCACTAGGGTCACTTTGTGGAATTTTCTTTCATAACACAAAATTAGTAGCGAGTGATGTGTTTGAGCATTACTATCATTTTGTTGATATTAGTTTTTCTGCCCAAACAAGCTTTTCAAACATCTTTTATAAGTTAAAAGCTGAAATACCCATCCTTTGTTTGGGTTATGTGGCGGTTGGATAACACAAAAATCCTAACTTTCACACAACTTATTTATAACATAACATATTATTACTGTATTCATAACTACCTCACCAAACATTTTGTATATGGTTTAAGAATTCAATATGTATATATTTAAATCATGGTATATACTGTGTGATGGTCAGAGTAACTTTGTATTAAGAGGTAGTGGCCAAAGTAGTGGCAGTAGGGGGTGCTTTCTTTTAGCTGCTTTCAACACCCAGCTCTTAATTCCTTCCACAGTGTTTTACATGATTAATTAAATTGACAGTCATTAGCCACAGAAGTGTCTTACAGGTCATAGTTGAAATGTCAAGGGTCAAAGTAGGAAGCAGATATAATGCAAGAAACAGCTCTTCATATCAGCCTTATGGTGACTGTTGGAGTAGAAACATCAGCTGAGTTTATGTATTATTGCAATATTGGTGGCCAATTTTTTTCATTACATTCCTCCATAAAGGTGTATGTTGTAGCATACAAAATCTAATAATTTTGTGTGTGTGTGTAAGGACATGGTGGCATTCATGAATATAGTTAATGTTAACTTACATCAAAGATAATAAATGCTCAATAATGGCAACAATAGGGGGTGGATGGGGTAGTTAAAAAACCACTAACACGTCCTTTGTTTCATACTATCATCCCACAGTTTGGTTGAGATTGGCCCAGCTACCTAGGAGTAATTAAATAACAGACTTTTGTGCTTTTTATATATATGCATATGTAATATCTCTCTGATGTATACATTTAGAATGTCTTTTGTTAGAAAAGCTAGTAAAGTTACAAGAAACAAACATCTCGACTAAGTTAATCAACTGAATACCTGAATTACAAGTTTAAAAAAAAAATGTATAAATACATACAAATGTGTGTAAAACCTTGATTTTTACCCCACAACTTTGTAAGTATAAACATATAAAAACTTACATGATAAGCCTGGACAAGGATGAAAATATTATCAACCCCAACTGCTAGAACAAGGAATGGAATAACCTCAATAATGAGAAGTGTTGCTGGAACACCAGCATAGCTGAAGATGCCAAGAGATGATGTCACTGATAATAAAACAATCACTACTCCTCCTAAACCTAGTGTAACCTTGGAATTGACCTGCAAAAAGAAGATACACACTTTTAAATGTAGCATTCATCTATGCTATACATAGTAAATATATAGTATTAAAAATAGTATAGCAAGTTAACTTCAACAATATAAATATATCTAGTAAACATACATAATTATAGCAAAATGGGGGAACACTAAAAAAAAAAAAGGGTTTCAGAGGCAAGTTGAAGAGTAACATTATAATCTGTTTTGAGTGTGAGTAATTAGACTAAATTCACACTTCAAGCTGCTATGCATTCAAGTAGGTTTACAAAAGCCCAGATGTTATTCAAGAAGAAGAAAAAGACTGCCCTACCAATGCAGAAGAAATGGAATGAGGAGCTTGAATGTTATTCAAGAAGAATAAAGTCCTATACCAATGATATATGCTCAATTTAGAGTGTGTGTGTTGTGTAATATATAATTTTTGCATTCTAGATAAATTTCTGATGTCTGCAAAACTTGGAGTTTATTATTGTTGAACAATCTACGTGCTTTTTCTATTATGTGTGCGTTGAACCGACTGTGTAATTTTGGCATTATACATGCTTTCTTTGATTTTTGGTAATATTAATATCTTGTCCAGTTTTGTAGCTCCTATCTCCATTCTGTTTTTTTTTATCTGTGTTAAGTAAAACCACATGGGCAGATAACACCCATCTAACCTGTTCAAACATCAGAAAAAGCACGTAAAACATCGAAACAGACTGGAAAGCACAGAATATTCTGTGTAGATAACAAAGAAAGCCTGCAATGCCAAAGCTGAGGACTTTGCCATCCAATGACAGACAAAAACCAGATGATTAAATTATGACAGCTGCTAAACAGTCTGAATGAAAGTGAATTCAGTCCAACTGGATAAACAACAGTGTTTTCTGAATATGTAATCAAGGTTTAAAACAACCAAGTGATTCAGTTCAAAGCAGGTGCAAACAGTCAGTTCTAGTCATCAACAGAATAAAAGAGTATAGTTTCAAGCAACAAAATAAAAATGCTCTTCGGCTACCAAACAATCCAATGACTTATTTACGAGAAAAATATTAACAATCTTCCTAGTGCTTTATTTAACTCTCTCTACGAGGGCTCGGTCAAATTGACTGACCACGTGACCACTTTGTACTTGTTTAAAGTCATTATAGTTTGATACTATTAACTTTTAATATAGTATGTATATCTTTACAAAATTTGTCAGACTTTCAGCAAACATTATAAGTCTTTCACATACAAAAAATCAAATATTT